GACGATTACACGAGGAACATTGAAATTATTCGGAAAGTATTCTGGATGATCATTAAAAATATAAACAAAGGATACGTTCTTGGGAAAAACCTTCTGTAATACCTCAACAATACACTCAGTAACCAACTTCTTCGGTTGCAATTTTGCAATTTCGTCACTATTCGCGTATTGCATCACCACACATAGCAGTACAACAAAGCACCACGCTGGCATTTCTGAGCGCTTTACAAGTCGAAAGGGCACCGGACAACTAACCAAATTAATACTTAGTGTGGAACATTATATTTGTCGGATACCTAATTGGACAAAATGAGACGTTAAAAGGAAAATCTAATTTATTATTCAAGAGAAAATAATTTGTACATTAAGCTCTAATTCTACGTTGCTATGCATTAAAGCAATAAAACTAGTTGATATGGGTCAAAGTTGAATACTAAGTTCTCCCTGTTAATTAGAGCGAAAGGTAATTTGTTTGGAACGAATTTATTTATTTATTATCCCTCTCTTGTTTTGGGCTCTCAACAGGTTTGCGTCCCATTACAGAATGACTTAAGGTCTTAAGTTGTTTTATACTACTCCGGTATTTATCTTATGAACTCGGAAAACTGCAAGAGAACCTAATCCGGAGTATCCGGCAGAATGCTCGAAACTGGTCTAGGGAAATTCCCATCTCTGTCACAGATGAAAAATTCTTACCTCAGCTCAGGTTCGAACGACCGACCTCCAGCTTTATAGCCCAACGCTCTACCATTGAACTACAAAGATAATATAAATACGTGAAAGTGAAGTTTAGTTTATTAACGGGCTCCTAGCGAGTTTATAATTTTGCCGTCTCTGTTCGTCCGTCCGTCCGTCCGTTAGCACGATAACTCATAAACGAATGGACCGATTACGATGAAATTTTGCAGGAGGATTATTTATCAAATTTGTTGATCGGAGTTCGTGAATTGGCAATGTAGACCAAAAAATAAAGTAGACCCTTTTGATATCTCCGTTAATTATGAACCGAATTGCATGAAATTCATTATGCGCATAGCTTTAGCCATATAAAACACAATTCCAAAAGTTGAGCCTAATCGATCAGCATTCGCAGTTCCCTTTGCGCATCTCGACCATTTTCAGACCGAATTGCAAACTTCCTTATTTATGAAGGTATTTAAATGAAATTTGATACATAGCTACTTGGAATAAAAGCAATAATGTAGCGCCATTTTCCAAATTTGGTTTTGTGTAGGATGTGCAGTGCCAACTTTCTTATTTATGGAAGCAATTAAATGAAATTTCATACATATCCACTTTAAATAAAAGCAAA